AGAGAGAGAGAGAGAGAGAGAGAGAGAGAGAGAGAGAGAGAGAGAGAGAGAGAGAGAGAGGTTCCTCCTGCCTAATTGATACAGCTTTGTTTTGCATTGCTTTTTACTTGCGTTGGTCGTCAGTAGTGCAAAGATAAGCTCCATGCAGGCCGCTCCCTTATTTTGTGCTTGATCTGTTCCTGGTGCCGACTTCCTACCTCTCCCGTCTTCGCCCTCTCTGGCCCCCCTCCATCCCCCCCGGGCTGAGATTGCAGTGGCCTGAGGCACGTCCTCGTTTTTCGCCGTGAGGTGCTTGCCTTGGTTGGATCACATGTGTGATTTTTTTGTAATCCTGTTTCTCACCATTTTTTTTTTCATCATTTCATTGCTTTTGCAACTTTGCAAGTCTCTGAATTGTGCTAGTTCTGATTCATCTTTTGCTTCCACTCATTGATATGCAGAGGTGTTACGTCTCTCGCGTTTTCCCCAACTGGAGGAGTTCTATATGCAGGCGGAGCTGATGGCCAAGTCTGTGAGCTGGATTGCACGAGCGGAAGGATTCTGGAAAGGTTCCGTGGAAGCAAACATGCAATTTCATCTGTAGCGGTTTCGCCAGGTACGCTTTCTGAAGCTTCCTACTGCCGGAGTTCAAACAAGGGGTGTCAATCACAACATGTGGCTGAGCTCATTGTGGTGCGGGTGGTGGTGATGGCGATGAGGCAGGAAAGTCCAGGGTGTGTAAGAAGAGTTGAACCCGTCTAATTGCCTGATCTATCGAATGTCTTTAAGGACAGAGAAGTAAGGTAACGAACAAAAGCATGGACTGAAGAAGGGAGAGGAAAAAAAGTGAAAGAAGTCGTAACTGCCTGGTGGCTGGACGACACACAGGCGTAACCTTACTCTGCGGATGAAAAGAGTCAAAAGAGTTAAAACACTAAGCCCTCTGGACACACTAATGTTAGGGGCTCCCCTGCATTTGGGAGAAGAAAAGATGGAAAAAAAGTGAAGCACTTTTTTATGTTTATGTTTTCGGGGTCAAAAACTTAGAACTGAAATATGGAAAGAGACATGAAATCAGAGGTAGGGAGGAAAAACCCCTCAGTTCTTTGTTGTTTGCCAATCTACCCATAATAGACTATATGCCCAGCGGTACAACCTCGGCTGCCCCATGGGATCGATAGAAGGGCCGTTTGTGCCTTTGTGACACACTCAGAAATTGCTGTCTTCTGTTTGGCTGGCAGCAAATCATGTCTGCAGCTTTTTATTATGACCGGTCTAGTAAATGTGAGTTCTATTATGGCAGCCCTCTGTTATGCTTGTGAGTTCTATTTTTGTTTTTGTGGCTTTTGGCAGTTTTGCAGAGGGGCGGCTTGCTCACATTACTGTATACAAGTTGACCCCGTAGCCGTGGCGCACAGCAACACTCTCTGATGGCGACAGTGTATATTTCGATGTTGTAGCGGAAGATACATTCAATTTTGCTCATTCTATCGCTGGAAGTAGCGTGAGGCCAGCCGTGGGATTGGAGACTTACCTGTTGGCCGGTGCACAACCAATGGATGCAAAACTCTCTCTCTCTCTCTCTCTCTCTCTCTCTCTATCTATCTATCTCTGTCTCTCTCTCTCTCTGTGACACGAGCGCGCGCACACACACACACACACACACACACTTACACATACAAAAAAAAAGACAAAAAAAAGTGCCAGTGTATATTTCGATGTTTTAGTGGAAGATTCATTTCGAGTTTGCTCATCCTATCGATGGAAGTAGCATGGCTGGAAAGCAGTGCGTATTCGAAGTAGCCTCTCTCTATCTCTCTGCGTGCATGGCTGGCGAGTCCCACTCCCCTCCCAACCAATCTCGACTATTTCCTTCCCCCCTCCCAAATCCCGACTCCCGTTTCCTCCCTCACCCGTGCGCGGTCCCGATTTCCTCTCCCCTCCCAACCAATCCCGACTCCTATTTCCTTCTCCGCCCGTGCGCCCCGATCCCATTTCCCAATCTGCTATCCCTCCCCTCCCTCCAATCCGGACCGCCCCCGTTGGTCCCATCCCCCTCCATGAGCGGTCCCGATTGCGCCCCGATACCGTATCTCTCCCCATCCTCCAATCCCCGCTCCTCTCCTTAGTCCCAATCCCGAGTCCCGCTTGCGCCCCGATACCGCATCCCTCCCCTTCCTCCAATCCCCACTCCTCTCGTTAGTCCCCATCCCGAGTCCCGCTCTCTTCCCAACTAATCCCGACTCCCTGCCTTCATATGCGATCTCGATTGCTCCCCGATCCCGTATCCCTCCCCTCCCTCCAATCCTGACTACTCTCGTTAGTCCCGATCCCAAGTCACGTCCTTCCCCAATCTCGAATTCCAGTCCCATTCAAGAAAAGAACAGAACTTACCTTGATCCGCCATCTTCGTCGACTTCTTCTCAGTCTTCGTCACGTCAACCAAACAACGACCTCTTCCAAAAGAACGACCTCTTCTTCTCGGTCTTCATCACGTTAGATCCTTTCGTTTCCTGCACCAACTAAACAACGACCTCTTCTTGTGCCTCCCTTTCCAGCCGTCCTTCACGTTAGATACGACCTCTCTCTCTCTCTCTCTCTCTCTCTCTCTCTCTCTCTCTCTCTCTCTCTCTCTCTCTCTCTCTCTCTCACAGTCACATACCTGTCTCTTATACACATCTAGATGTGTATAAGAGACAGCCACTGCCCTGTTGGCTCCNGACGATGGTCACAGCTATACGCTTGCGGAGTGGCGACAGACAGGCTTTCAACACCGACGTGCGAAATAGTGACCCATGCAATCGGCACCTCAGAAACTGGCCGGCGAGGGCCTTCTCGGCCAGTTCCCCGTGGGCCGGCTCCACCCGACCGCCGACTTTGCCCCAAATGCGCGTTTCGGAAAAAAAAGTGCCCCGAGTGCCCCGTGGGCCCGCCCCTTGCCCCGACGCCGTTCCCAACACTGGGCAGCGGCTCTCCGTGGGAGCGTGACGCTAGACCCTTTGCTTGCTTTAGTTGTATAGAGATGAAACGTGTGAAAGCAGTGCTGCATACTCTGGTTCAGTGTTGCATACCCTGACAGTCGGTGGCCCTTGACTGGTTGGCTGCCGAACAGCCGACCGGTCGGCTGGCCGGCACCAACCAGTCAGGGGTTGTGGGCACCCGCACAATTTTTTTTATTATTATTATTATTTTTTTTTTTGGTTTGTTATGGTCCAGAACCCCTAATAACCCCCCCAAACCCCCCATACCCCCATACACCCCCAACCCACCCCCCAACACCCTCATTACCACCCCTATACCCCCTATTACCACCCCTATACCCCCTATACCACCTCTATACCCCCTGTACCCCCTCCCAACCCCCGCATGCGCCTCCCCATCCCCAAAAGTTTCTCAGCAGATTTGGGCTGTACTCAGCAAGCGCAGTACAGCCACGAACTCGGATTTGAAAAAAAATCAGTGGATGGCTGTTTTCTGACCGGTCGGCTGCAAAACAGTCGGCGGTCGAGGTTGCCTGTATGCTCTTCCGGTTGATGGAGATGTGGTGGTCAATGATTTGTTGAAAACCCCACTATCAATGTTGTGCTCCGTTCTTCGCTTTCGTTGCAAAGATCGAGAGCAAAGGGAAGACAAACTATGCGGCAGTGGTATGGCTTAGGAGGAGCAGGGTGTCAAGGGGTATTGTTGATGTTCCTGCTCTGTCTTTGTCTGTCTGGCAGATGGAGGGCAGCTACTTGCCGCAAGCTCCGAGATAAAGCTCTTCGATTTGGCAAGCAAGAAAAGTCAGCGAAAGTTTGCAGGCCATCCGGTGAGCCAAACAATTGCGAACAGTATTCCCATCTCCTTTATTTTCATGTGTAGGGCTTTGTGGACCCCGCCATAGTGAAGCGATAATTTCTACCGTTTCTGCGTGCTTTCTGCCATCCGACGTCGTCCGGTCATTTCTGTTGTATTGTGTACGTTCTCTCAGCTTGAATCGACCTGTACTAAGAGGCTGCTCTGGAGTCCATCCATTTGGGTGTAAGTGGGCCAGGCCCCAGTGGGTGCTATGTTCGTATACTTGGAAAGCCCCAACCTGGCTGCTATGAGGTTTGCGCTTGTTCCCAGTGGGGCGTCCTCCTAAGTCTAGTTCACAAACGTCTGCGCTATCAAGTCTGTTTTCAAGTCATGTACTCGTAAACTGCCACTACCCTTCACAGTTGTAGTCCCGGTTGGGAAAATGACCTCATCCGAAAAAATCGCCGCCGAGCGGCCGCGGATATTTTCCTCTCTATTGTTTGTTGCTGTACTGATCATTCCCATTTTTGCCAACTGAAGCTGGGAGTTAAGTGTGATACGCAAAGCAACGATGGGGTGTTAGCTAACAGGATGGCTCCACTTTTTCTTTTTCTTTTTCATTTTTTTTTTTTTTGTTTTGGGTGGGGGTGCTCAGGGAGGGGGAGGGGTTTGCAATGAGTTGAGAGTGAGAGTGGGCTGCCTCTGGTGGGTTTTGAGAATTGCCAGGGGCCGGGGGAAAGAAACCGATGTTCGCTTATTGTTCATTGAAGACAGGACGGAAAAAACTACCGTCTTCACCCAAAGTTCTGCCGGTCATTATAGCCGTATATTGGGCAACTTTCAGTCTAGATACAGCGATAATGACCGGGCGTTCTATTTGGGTGAAGACGGTAGTGAGATACATCCTTTGACGGGGACCTTAGCTTTTTGATCGTTTGGAAGAATCTCGAGAGTTTTTTTCCGATTGGATACTGAGTGACTGCATTGTTTGTTTTCTCCCAGACCTCCGTAAAGGCGCTTATCTTTGCCGCGAAGGGCTCGTATGCAGTTTCATCGTCCCTTGGTGATCGGCACATTGCAGTGTGGAATTGTGTGGCTTCGAAGACAGAAGATACTTCAGGTGTTGTGGCTGCGTTGGGGATGGAAGATCCTGGAGTTGCTGTTGATTGGGGAGGAGAGGGGGAGGAGAGTGATGCTTTGAAGTTGCTTGCTGTCTCCGAGAACGGGGAAGTGTATGTATGGCAAGCTGACTCAGCATCTAAGCTGGCAAAGAGTAAACCCATCAGGATCAGGTATTGCTTCTGCGCGGGCTCTGTTCAAATTCTCAGTTTGTTAAAAAGAGGTCTCATGTTCAAGAATTGGTCATTCAGTGACATCAACTTTCCGTCCTCGTTAAACCACCAGTACCCTGACTACCGTCTTCACCCGAATAGAACGCCCGGTCATTATAGCTGTATTTGGTGCAACTTTCACTCCAGATACGACAATAATTACCGGGCGTTCTATTCGGGCGAAGACGGTAGCTACTCCCTGCACACGCACGCTGGTTAACCTGGTGCCGAGGATAGGGTTCGGACTTCCAGAGGCAGGCGGTCTCATGGAGGGGGGKGGGGGGGGGGAAGAAAGTTTCTTAACGTTGGCAGTTTTTTGCTCTCATTTCCTCAATAAAAGAGTCTGAAAAAAGCCATGGATATAGACTACATGCTGTTGTATAAGGAGAACATATTTTGAAAATGAAAAAAACAAAAAAAAAGCACTTGCGTGTTGAAAAACATTTAACGCAAATGTGCCAGCCTGACCCACATAGCTGCTCGGTAGAGCATTGGAAAAATGGGGCTCGGAGGTCCCGGTGGTGTAACCAAGAAGGTGGTATTCTATTTGACAGGGTTTGGACTTGTATTAGTGGTCTGTGAAACCTGTCGATCAATTATCCTATGTGGGTACCAGTCAGGTAACAGGCATGGCGAGGAGGAGGGGGGTGGGAAAGGGAAAGAATGCTAATCAGTAAAGAGTAGAAAGGAGAGGGGCCAAGTTATGAAGGAAGCTGAAAGGAAAAGAGTTGGGTGAGAGTGATAAGACCTCAGTCAGTTAAGCATGTACATGACTGCAGCAGGTTGAGAAAGCTCAGCGTTTCCATTGCATTGGCTTGGCTTTCATTCTCTTCATGTGCTACGATCAGGCATTCATATTCAATGATCGCCGAACGTGTGAGGAAGGTTGCCTAGTGATGATCTGGTCCTCCTTCTCCTAGTTGTTTTTTTTTAGTTCTGCCTGCTCCCATTGTTAATGGCACGTGGAGGTGGGGTGGTTCCTTCCCCTTCTCTTTGCCAGCAGTGGCAAAGCAGAAGACAGCCCTCCAGTGTATTGGTCCCTCCGGCGTGCGTTTGTGGGATCCATGCACTGGCTGACAAAGTTGTTAGTGTGTTGCATCAACATGCATGGTGCCTGTATTGACTTCATGATTCTATGCGGCTGTATGCGGTTTTGGTGGTTCTCTTGTGTTGGTAGGGTGTCCAACCCTTCCCAAGGTAAAGGGGGCAAGAAAACAGGAGATATCATCCTGGCGGCTAGATTCGTCAGAGGTGCAGATGGACATCAGAGCAGTGCTGTGTTGGTTGCCAAGGGTAGTGTTGCAAAGCCCGAGTTTGAGCGAGTTGAGTTGAGTGACAAGGATGGCGAGGTGCTCCTGAAAGCGGCGGAAGATGGTCTGTTGTTGAAAACACCGCGGGCCAAGACCAGTGAGCCAGGACCCAAGGAGAAAGGTATGCTCTACGCTGTGCCGAACCGTGTCCACTGGAATGCATTGGAAAGAAATGGACACCCTTTGCTCTCTCGAAGAAGCCCTGCTCAGCAGTCGGGGCCCAATGAAAATGCTTGTTACTCGCAGCCTTAACAACTTGAGGGAACTGCGGCGTATCTAGCTGGTTGAAGTCTGAAAAGGTATTTGAGACCTGCATTAAACGGCCAGTACCTCGCCCGCATACCCGGTCAAACTTGAAAACTGAAATTGCTACAATCTGGATTCTTCAGATGGATAGTGCTACTGGACCAAACTGGCTGTCGCTGCCAGCCCAGAGAGGGAGAAAATGCGCGCTGGGAAAAAGAGGCTCAGAGGTACTCTGGTGGTTTAAACCAGCACTACT